GTGTGTGTGTGTGTGTGTGTGTGTGTGTGTGTGTGTATTCTTGACAGAGGCTGTGTATACTTAATCTAGAAAAGACTGGCTGTTGGCTCATTCATTATGCTGCTGTCTGTTTGCAGCTGCTTTCAAAGGTCATTTGTAAAGAAACGCAGGCACAGAAGGGGTGTGGCCTGTCACTGAGAATGAATGCTAATTAAAAGGATGACAACCAGGTGGAAGAGCCGGCCAGGCCACCCTGAGCTACCTTTGGAGAGGAATAATCAGTGTTAGTCCAGTTCCCCAAGTTGGTTTTCTCGGGCATCAGGTGCTCCCCACAAGACCAAAATCCTGCCTGAAATCCATTTTATCCTAATCTGAAGTGTTGAGTTAATGAAAGACGGGTAATTTGACAATGGATAAAGCAAAACCCATACATACCAGAGTGCATTCTGTCCTGGGCTTCACAGAGCTCAGGGCAGAGGAGGGTCACACAGTTAATACCTGCAGCTCTGGAGTCCGGAGAACGTTGTTTCTCACAGCCTAAGCCAGAAAGTAAGATTGAGAGACGAGCCCAATTCTCTCCTTAGACTTTCAGGAAATATTTTTCATAAGACATGGAAAGACTACTGGTCTTTGAGTTACAAGGAAGGGGACTTTGCTGTATAGAGTGGAAAACGGTATCTCTGCTGAGGCTGCTTTACCAGGCCTCAGGACTGAAGCCCCGTTCCTACAGGTGCTGCAGAGCAAGGTTGTGAAAGGAGAGATGTGGCCAGCTGGGAACTCTCTAGTGCAGAAGTCGTCAGAAGAAATTCCTGATTTTGTTCTCAGAAAGAAATGGTTTTTTTTCTTCTTCAAGTCTAGACAGTGGGGGTACTGTCTCTTCCTAGATGGACCATCACTGAAGTCTAGAAGTCTCTCAAAAATGAGCAGGCCGTGGGCTGGAGAGATGACTTAATGGTTAAGAACATTGACTGCTCTTCCAAAGGTCTTGAGTTCAATTTCCAGCAACCATATGGTGGCTCACAACCACTGGTAATAAGATCTGGTGCCAACTTCTGTCTGCAGGGACACATGCAGGCAGACCATTGTATGCATAATAAATAACTAAATCTTTAAAAAAAAAGAAACATTAGAAAAATGAACAGGTGCTCTTGATCCTGTTTCCTCCATCCACCTGGCAGGCATGACGTAGGCACTTCCCTCTGACCCCTGCCATTCTCTTCCCTGACACAGGAGGCATACATGGAATACCTGAGAAGCATCCACTACATCTCCCAGGCGTTGCTGGAAGACGTGGAAAACACTACAGGTATGCTTGCGGACTTGCTTCTTCTCGTGATGGCAACGTTGTGGACATCTTAGCCCTTGATGGTCCCCAGAGCTGGAGGTCTCCTGCTTCCTTCCAGCCTGGTCATTATCATTAGTATAGAATATCATAGTGGAACATGGTGGCACTGGAGAGCAGTATTACGGGTTAGGAGATAGATCATGGATTGAGTCAAGACACGGCCTCAAGGCAGTGAAGAGAGAGCTGCAGAGAAGTGGGGGCATTACCAGCAGAAGTACATTGAAAGCCCAAGAGAAATAGTTACAGCAGTGCTTTGTACGTATTGGCTGGAAGTGGAATTTTGGGAACCTCCCAAAGCTCTACCCAGCTTTGGGAGGAGTAGAGACTTTGGATGTATCTTGAAGCAGAAACCAACCAGACCCGATAGGGTTGATGGTGAGTTGCCAGCATGAAGGGATGTTCCAAGCAGAGGATGGGCAACCTTATGTGTCAGGGGAGAAATCGTGAGTTGCACTGTGGGGCGGGGGATCTAGTTTGGTTAGTAGAGCATGCTTTCCTAGCCTACATGAAGCCCTGCAGTTGGTCCCTGGCACTGAATAAACTAACGTGGTAGTGCAAGTTTGAAATCTTAGCCTTGAGGAGATTCAGGAGTTCAAGGTCATCCTCAGCTACATAGGGAGTTTGAGGCCAGCCTGGGCTACATGAGACCCTGTCTCAAATTTTAAAAAACTAGAGAATTCCATTGTGAGCATATAAAGTCTGAGATACAAGCAACGCTCTAGACATAGGAACACAGTTAGGGAGAGCTAGTGGAGGACAAGCGAGCTCAGCTGAGTCTGACACGTCAAAGATTGCGGCATCTGGACTAGCAGGAGGAACCTTAAGGGAGTAATGTCCCAGAGGGGGTAAAAAATTGAATGACTTGCTGTCTTTGACAAACTAGGGCTGCTGCGTAAGGACAATATAGGGAAATCTGGATGCTGAGATGGAGGTGGAATGAGGAGAAGATGGAGTTTATGAGGAGCTTGTTGTAAGGGGGAACAGGAGATTGGGTCCAGGAGCTGGGCAGTCTTGGCAAAGTATAAGGAAAAGATGCACCTACTGGTAGAAGCAGGCCCATGGAGGGAAGGGAGCAGCGCAGATACCTAAGGGTCAGGGGTGGAAGGGTGGAAGTGCTCATGGCAACACCCGCAGGAGGGTCAGTCTGGTACAGGCAGCCAGTAGGTGGTGGGCCAGGAGAGTCTGTAGAACTCGTATCTCTGTTCAGTAGCCATGAGTGCTACATGGCCATTTCCAGAAGGCAAGCAAGAGTCAGTCTGGCGCTTGACTGCCAATCATGTGGGTATACTGTCTTGAACTATGATGAAATGAATAAGGGTGAACTGCCTAACTTACAGTTCCTTGTTCTTAGTAAGGATATGAGTCATAACCAGCCCCGTGTCCCTTCCCTAGAAGGTGGGGAAACAGTTCTCCCTGAGACCTCAAAGATGCTGAAGCTAGCTGAACAGTGTCTGGAACGGGCCCAGTCAACAGCTACCAAACTTGGTGGGTACTCAAAGAAGGGGGCTCTTGGTACCAGCTTTGTGGGATGATCCCTAGCCTGCTGACCAGGGTTCTCTACATGGCTTGCAGGGAGAATATGCCTGAAGCCAGCTGTACCTGTGGCTCCTTCCATGCCCTTGCCTACCAGTCGACACCGCAGAGTGTGTTCAGACGAAGGAGGGAAACTCTCCCCGTTCCTGCCTCCTGAGATCTTCCAGAAGCTGCAGGTGGCAGAGTCACAGAACTCTAAGAAGTAAGATTGTCAGGATGGGAGTTGTGCTAACGTGGATGGGGTTGGAAGCTGAGCAGAGTGAGCGTCCCTTGGGGTCCTTAGTTAAAGTGGCTCCCAGAGTAGACATACCCTTGCCTGACAGAAGCAGATGCAAATTCCATTAGGATGCAAATTCATCCTTCAAAAGTTAGTGGCAAACAAAGATAGCCACACAGAAACTGAAATGATGAGATAATAGTTGCAGAACAGACCTGGGAAGATTTCAGATGGTTATCAGGCACGGTTCAAACAACCCTGAGAGCTTTGCTTAGAAATACAAAACCAAGTTTGAAAGCACATGAACAAGAAACTCTAAAGTCAGAACCAGCAAAAAACAAACAAACAGAAAAGAAAAACAAAAACAAACCTAGTTACAGTATCTGACGCCCTCTTCTTGCCTCCTTGAGCACCAGGCACACACATGGTAAAAGGTACACATACACGTAGGCAAAAGACCCATATACATAAAAACAAAATAATAATAATAATAAATAAATACTAGATAGTTGAGAATGTAACTTCATGGTAGAGTGTTTCCCTAGCATACATGAAACCCTGAATTTGATTCCTATTACTGCCTGTTGTCCCAGTACTCAAGAGATGGAATCAGGAGATCACAGGTTCAAGTCTACCCTATTGAATTTGTGGCTAGCCTGGTCAGGGGAGGTAGCATATGCCTGTAATCCCAGAACTTGGAAGGTGAAGGGAGGAAAATCATGAGGTCAGGGCCTGCCTTAAAAGGCTGTGGTAGCACATGCCTATGCCTTTAATCCCAGCACTCAGAAGACAGAAGCAGACGAATCTCTGTGAGTTCAAGGCCAGCCTGGACTACAGAGTAAGTTCCAGAACAGTCAAGGCTATACAGAGAAACTGCCTCTAAAAAAGTAACGAATAAATAAATAAATGTGTACAGGTTTGTATTAACAAAGTAGAGACACAGATGAAGAGAGAAAAAAATAAGCCAAGATAAAATCCAGATGTCACAGGAACAAGACATAAAATAGGAAAGACAGAAGGCCTAGCATGTTTTTTTTAAGTTCCTGAAAGAAAAGAAAGATAATGGGGTGGGGGGGCATTGTTTGAAGATAAAACAGCAGAGAATTTTCTACACTAATGAAAGATACCAAGCCACAGATGCAGAAACTCGGTGAACCCAACATGCATGAATCAGGCCCCTCTTACCACGTGTCCCAGAGGTACCTTTACCTGCCAGGTTCCTCAGGCCCCACCTTTCTTTGTGTGCAGCTTCATCCCTGGGGTGGATACAGATGTCAGCTTCAGAATGGAGTCTTTCTCCTCAGTCTCCTCCACACTTTTTGTCAGCTAACGCTGAGAGCAGGGAGGTGTGTGACTGCTGCAGTTTCTTACTGAATAGACACAGCTCTCCCTTCGGTGGGTTGCAAATGAATCTTGCTGTTGGGAACCCTGTAGTAACTTCCGGGAGTTCCATGTTATTGCCACAGATATAACTGATTTTCATAAAAATCCGAATGTCCTGCTTCTCTTGAGAAGCCCTG